ACTGTGGGCTGCTTGAGGACAAGAACTGGGTTATTTTCTCTCTCCTTGCTCAGTCAGTCCCCACATGGGAGGTGTGGGAGACACCCCGTTCTTGGCCTGCAGGCTGCCCCTCCTCCATTTAGCTGCGGGGTACCACAGCCAGCCTCTGATTGCCGGTGGCCCCAGCCCCTCCATCCACACCGACCTCACAGCAAACTCTCCGTGGCCACAGCCTGCCCCGGTCAACCATGTCCGAAAGGTGATCAGTGTCCATGAAGAAGAGGCCAGGGGACTGTGGATGTCATACCGCTAACCATTAGTGACCTGCACAACAGCAGACAGCAGCTGGCAGGCAGGTCCATGGGCCAGGCGTGGCTCCCAGCCATAAATACAGGCTGTAGTTCTGCCGGAAAGAGGGAGGGGACAGACAAGCCTGGGCAGAGACCCAGAGGGGACCGGGACACCCGAGCCTCCATGCAGTTCTGTCCACAGCTTGGGAGGAGAGGTGGGCAGGTCTGCGTGCAGGAGACAGGCCTCGGCCCACAGAGCTGCAATCTGATCCCGTCGGCTCCCTCTCCAGTTCTATAAATAGAACCCCCAGGGAACCAGGGCCCAGACAGGATTAGTCACACCCTCACCTCAGGCCGCAGGGACAGGCCTCTGAGACTTCCAGGACATGTACCACCTGTCCTGCCCCCAACCCCTGCCAGCCTTCAGCAGGAGGGCTCGTGCTGAGCATCAGGAGGGGGCAGAAGAATTGAACGTGGCCACCGTCCATGAAGAAGTTAGAGAAGAGTACACACAGCACACATGCACACAAGAGTAGGACACGTGCACACACACACACACAAGATTAGGAAACACAAGTGCACATACAACCAGTCAGAAAAGAGCTCTGAGCTTTTACACACATTAACTCATTTCATCTTCAAACAGCCTTTAGAGAGGTATAATTAGCGTTCCGTTTTAAAGGTGAGGGAACTAAGGCACAGAGAAGCTATGTAACTTGCCCAAAGGCACCAAGCTACTGAATGACGTTTGAGGCCATGATTTCTCCCCAGGCCTTTAACCACCTGCCTGACTCCTCCCAGCCGAGCGGCTCTGCTCCTGCATCAAAAAGGTCAAGGAAGAGGCCGCCTAGGGAGCAACACAAGGCGGCATTACAAGCAGGCGTTTTCCTGTTGCAGACTGCATTTTGGTGGCAAGAGAAGCTTTGGAGGTGCTTAACGTTTAGTTTGCATTTATCCTACAGCTGGAAAGCAGGGCCCCTTAGAACCATAAGTCTAGGACTTTTCATAGCTCCCTAGACTGCTGGGGCTCGGCAATCCCTTCCCACCTGTGATTAGCTTTGGCGTTCAACAAAGACAGGACTCAGAATCTGGATCTGCTCGCCTGGCTTCACTTTGGGCTGGTTCAGTTTCCTTTTGAGGTAAATCATTCGAGGTTTTTCAGGGATCCTCAGATGCACGTCTGAGTGAAGCCGCCCTGGCTTCTCCTTCAGCTGCCCCCTGGGCAAGAGCCCGGGCCATACCTGTGCCATGCCTGAGCTCTGTCTCTAGCTGCCCGATGTCCAGTCATTGGCGGCGGGTCTTATTCAAGCCCCTTTTCCCCCAGCACACACTAGCTTGTAAGTCCTCGGGGTGGGGACCGCTTCTCACTCATCTTCATATGCTTAGGAGTGTTCAGCACAAAGTCACTCAGGAGAGGGGAGGGAGGGGGGACAGAGAGGGCAGACATAGAGGAGAGGCCTCTGTCCGGAGGGGTCCTACTTAGGATCAACCAAATCGTTAGCAAATGTTGGAAAGATGGTCCGGAGGCTTCAGGGTGGCTACTCTTCCTCCCCATCAGGGCAAAACTCCCTGGGACTTGTGTCTCCCTGTGGTTGGGGACAGGCCTGGGTGTATCTGTCCCAGCCTTGACTGACCACAAGGGGAGCCTTGGCCCTCCCGATTGCAGGAGAAGAGGGATTTGAATTCACCTTGGCTCAAATCGCAGATGCTGGCCTGTGAGCCCTGAGGCCATCTGCAAGGCCCTTGGGCTGACATAACTGTCACCCAGCTCTTCATCCTCCTTCCCTGGGGTCGAAGGGGTGCCGGCAGGGTCTTCTACCCTCCCTCCGCCTGGGCCCTGCTGCTGGCATGGAGCTTCGTTTCTATTGGCAGCCAGTGTTTGCTTAGTGATTACTGAATGCCATTTGCTGGGTGCTTATTATGTGCCCAGCACTGTTCTAAATGCTTTGCACAATTGACTTATTTACTCCTATAACCTGACCATAAGGGAAGTGCTGCGATGGTCTCCCTTTTATAGCTGAGAAAACTGAGGCACAGACAGGCCCATGGTCACACAGTTCAAATGCGGCAGAGTCAGGACCAGAATCCAGGCGGTCTGGCTCTAGAGCCCGGCTCCTGGACCGAGCAGCCTTGTGGGCCTGGTGCAGACCCGCCTGCCGTGGACTCACTATAGGATGGGTCAGGAGGCCCGTTGTCACCTACAAAATGTAGCTTACCACCCAGGAAACGCTCCCAGAACCAGGCAGAAAACGTCGTCTCCTATTCTCAGGGTGGCTGCGCCCAGCGTGTGTGGGGTGGGGGTCTTGGCGGGTGCCTGCATGTCTGTGCGGGTGTGTCCCCATCTGTGGACTCGGGAAGCACGATCCCCACAAAAGCAACCCCTCAGTGTCTCACATCAGCCAATCCCTGCTATCCTGTGACAGGCAGGGCCGTGTTTGAAAACCATGTTAAAGATGCGCAAGAGGCTAAGGGAGTTTCCCACGCTGGCAGAGGCAGGACGGGAACACACGTCCCCTGACTCTTGACACTGAGAATGCACCTCCTTCCAGCTGGCCTCTCGTCCCAGCCAGTGTGGTCCCAGCTCTGCAGCCATCTGGGACATCTCTGGAAAGCTCGCTGTTCTCTGTCTGGGCAGTAAGATGGAGTGAAGCTCTGACTGCCGAGGCAGACAGACCTGCCTCCTGCTCTACCTCCCCTCAATTATTTGTGCTGCCTGACACAAGTTCCTGAGCCTCCCTGAGCCTCAGTTGCCTCCTCTGTAAAGTGGGAATGATAACTGAATCTACCTGCTGGGGTTCTTGTGAGGACCAGAGGCCCATCACCCGAGGAAAGGCCTGACAGCAGTGATGGGTGTATGGTAGGCATTCCGTTAACAGGAGCTGCTGCTGCTGCCTTGTAAAAGGAACAACCACAGTTTCGAAAACCTCTTAAGATTGCATTGTTTGTCATCTGAGAGCAGAGATTGTGATCTCCATTGACAAAGATGGAAGCTGGGGCCCAGGGAGGCACACAGACTTGTCTGAAGACACACAGCTGTTTCATAGCAGAGCCGGGCCCAGCCTCCTGGTCCCCCTGCCCCATCTTTGTGTCAGTCCCTGGACCCACTCCTTACCTGGTCAGGTGTCCAGAGGTTCCAGGAGAGTGTTGTGGAAAAGTGGGAAGAGGCCGACACCTATGCAGGGTGTCGAAAGTCACCCCGACTGCTCTGCTGCCTTGAGGCAGGGGTTCTTAAGCCCTGTGGAACTGTGGGCTAGTGAAGCTTGTGGACTTCTGCTCAGAATAATGTTCTTACATGCGCCAAATAAAATAGCCTAGGGTTACAAAGGAAACATGTTACATGGAAACACGGTGAAAATATTTTTTAAAAAAGACTACAGTAGCATTACGCATGCTTCTTTATTAGCACATTAAATAACAAGCTCTAGTGGCAGATCTAATGTCTACCATAATTTTATTTTTACTTTATTTTAGTATTATTATTATTATTATTATTTTGAGACAGCCTTGCTCTGTCACCCAAGCTGGAGTTCAGTGGTGTCATCACTTCAGTCTTCAACTCCTGGGCTAAGCGATCCTCCTGCCTCAGTGTCCTGAGTAGCTGGGACTACAGGCATATGCCGCTGTGCCTGGCTAATTTTTTTTAATTATTATTATTTTAGAGATGGGACCTCCCTATGTGGCCCAGGCTGGCCTTGAACTCCTGACCTCAAGCCGTTTTCCTGCCTTGACCTCCTAAAGTGCTAAGGTAACAGGTGTGAGTCACTGCACCTGGCTAGCATAGTTTTAAATTTGTGCTTAATTTAAATAGTATTAGGATAAACTATTTACAGGTAAATTTATGATATAATCTTGGCCAGTGTTAATGAAAAATTATGTTGCCTACCTTCATACTTAAAGGAAACAGCAAATTTTAGTTAGAAGTTGGTGACAATTAATATATAATAATTTTTCCCATCCAAGTTTACTGTAGACTGCTGGCCTGAGTCCGGGGTTTCCTCCACATCCACTCGTATCTTGGGCTCAGCAAAGAAGATCGCAGGGCACCCACCCTATCTTAGGGGCCCATTCACATGTCTCTCCAGTCCTGCCCTCAGAGATCAGGGTTTGGTGTTCATTCATTCATTCATTCATTCAGCAAACACTGAGCACTGCCTCTGTGCCAGACTATGATACACAGTGAGATCCAAGGTCAGATGAGATGAGGTCCTGCCCTCAAGCTGTTCACTATCCGTCAGGGAGAGCATAAGAAGAACCGCTCCAAGATGCAACATGTAGACAGGTATAGGGACATGCTCACCCTTCCTGGTCATCAAACACCCAGCGATGGTGAGGTTGGGGTTAGATGGTCACTCCTGGCTAGTGACACTGTCCATTGCATCATCCTTTTGAAAAGAAGTATGGCACTGCATCACGTTGGTCATGGAAATTCCAGAGTCCCCTTTCCCAGCACTCTCACTCTGCCAGCTTTTCCCTGAGGAAATAATTCAGCAGGAGGGACAAAGGGTGGAGGGCAGAAGTCCTCCCTGCTCTTCCTGAGTCTGTGTTCTCCCCAGGGAAGGGGCTGTGTTGTGCTCACCTTGTTCCCCTGGTGCTGACGTGTGGTAGCACTCGGTGAACACTTGCTGGATGAATGTCTGACTGCCGTGTAGTTACGACGTATAAGAGGAGGGAGGTGGCAGAAGGGGCAGTCCAGGAGCCCTCCACTGACCAGGTTCCTGACTTCTCTTGCAGCCACCAAGATGTCAGGAGAGATGGACAAGCCACTGATCAGCCTCCACCTGGTGGACAGCGATAGCAGCCTTGCCAAGGTCCCCGATGAGGCCCCCAAAGTGGGCATCCTGGGTAGCGGGGACTTTGCCCGCTCCCTGGCCACACGCCTGGTGGGCTCTGGCTTCAAAGTGGTGGTGGGGAGCCGCAACCCCAAACGCACAGCCGGGCTGTTCCCCTCAGCGGCCCAAGTGACTTTCCAGGAGGAGGCAGTGAGCTCCCCAGAGGTCATCTTTGTGGCTGTGTTCCGGGAGCACTACGCTTCACTGTGCAGTCTCAGTGAGCAGCTGGCTGGCAAGATCCTGGTGGATGTGAGCAACCCTACAGAGCAAGAGCACCTTCAGCATCGTGAGTCCAATGCTGAGTACCTGGCCTCCCTCTTCCCCACCTGCACAGTGGTCAAGGCCTTCAATGTCATCTCCGCCTGGACCCTGCAGGCTGGCCCGAGGGATGGTAACAGGCAGGTAGGTGCTGGGGGAATAATATCCATCATAACAATAAATATAAATGGTTAATTTTCATTGAGTGCTGCCAGCATGCCAGGCTCTTTTTTTTTTTGGTATATTATCATAGCTAATCCTGCATCACTGCAAAATTCCATTTTACAGAACAGGAAATTGAGGCTCAAAGATATTAATGATCTTACTCAAAATCCTATAGCTGGTAAGTTGGGATTTGAACCCAGTTCCTATGGATCTGAAACCCATGTTCTTTCTGCTATGGTAACTGGGTTTCCTAGAGGGCAAGGAGGAAAAGTTTGATGACTTTTTGCTATTTGGAGCCAAGAAGGAGAGAGACTTGGCTTTTAGAATTGGACTTGTAAGGAGGAAAGTAACACACTTATGTACCAGGCCCTGAGGAAGGCAGGCATGTCTCAGACCTTTTCTTATTTATTCTAAGGGCTTCCAAGAACTGATTTCTCAGAAAAGTCAACAGCAGGATTTTCTGGGGCTAGATAATGGCTCCACAGAACAGCTAGAGCTGCATACATTTCTTGCCACGAGGAGTTCTTACCAAGACAAGGTGGTTTTTAATGCCACCTTGGTTTTTAATGCATTTTCTTGGTGAAAGAATGCCAGACTCCGTGTGTGTGAGAACTTCCACCAGTGAGTCCAGCCCAGGTGCCAGGCTCTGTAGGACAGTTTCAAGGTGCCCAGCTATACCTGACTACAGCACCTTAAATGCAGCCTATGTCACGGGACTCCCAGGTATGGACCAGGAGGAACAGTGGGGAGTGTTGGGTGCAGGGCGTGGAGGGAACAGAGCAAGCAGGCTGGCTGGAGAAGACTTGGAGGAGGGCTTTGACCTGGGCCCACCTCATGCTGTCAGGCTCAGGGAGCAGGAGTGCATTCCAGTCTGAGGGAACACTCTGAAAAGGCACAGAGATAAGAAACAATGCTCCTAGACCTCAGTTTTCTCATCTGAAAAATGAAGACAATAGTACCTACCTGTGGGCTCATGGCAAGGCAGAGAGATCATATATGTAAAGCTCAGCACAGAGTAGGTGTTCAGTCTGTGTTTTGAGACTAGACTGACCAATGCAGTGTCAACAAGGCCCACGGGGTGCTTTGGGATCTGAGGACTCCAATGTGCCTGCAGGGGGACCTCGTGGGTCAGAGCAGTGGGCTTCAAGGCAGAGAGGGCAGGCTGGAGCTGGCTCGTGGAAGACCTTATGTGCTGACTGAGGGCCCTACTGAGCCGAGAGACATCATCAAGGGGGGCGATTCTGAACTGAGGGATGGAGCTGCAGCCACCGCTGCCCATCCTGCACCATATGCAAAACTCTTTTGCTGAGCGGCTCCCAGGGCAGGCCACAGCCTTGGCGACAGCCGTGTCAGGGGCCCATGGGGACAGCCTGGATGAGCATTTTGCTTGTGACTGCTATGTCCATGAGCTGGGCAAGGCGCTTACTGTTCGCAGCTTCTCTCCTTGAGTAGTTGGCCTGGCTGGGCAGCTGGGCCAGAGGCTGGGAGGCCTTGGCGCCAGAGAAAATACCCCGGCCTGGGAGCTAGAGTCCCATTAGCTCCCACCTGTACCATTGACTGGCAGCTCACTTGGACAAGTCCCTGCCCCTCTGGCCCTCAGTTTCCTGCCCACTCCTGTGGCCTGTGACCCCATCTGATTGCCCCGCTTTTCCTCCCACAGGTGCCCATCTGCAGTGACCAGCCGGAAGCCAAGCGTGCTGTCTCGGAGATGGCGCTCGCCATGGGCTTCATGCCCGTGGACATGGGATCCCTGGCATCAGCCCGGGAAGTGGAGGCCATGCCCCTGCGCCTCCTCCCGGCCTGGAAGGTGCCCACCCTGCTGGCCCTGGGGCTCTTCGTCTGCTTCTATGCCTACAACTTCGTCCGGGACGTGCTGCAGCCCTACATGCAGGAGAGCCAGAACAAGTTCTTCAAGCTGCCCGTGTCCGTGGTCAACACCACACTGCCGTGCGTGGCCTATGTGCTGCTGTCGCTGGTGTACTTGCCTGGCGTGCTGGCGGCTGCCCTGCAGCTGCGGCGCGGCACCAAGTACCAGCGCTTCCCCGACTGGCTGGACCACTGGCTGCAGCACCGCAAGCAGATCGGGCTACTCAGCTTCTTCTGCGCCGCCCTGCACGCCCTCTACAGCTTCTGCTTGCCGCTGCGCCGCGCCCACCGCTACGACCTGGTCAACCTGGCAGTCAAGCAGGTACCCATCCCACGCCCTTCCTCCCTCTGGCAACTCAGCACATGCTTGTCCAGTGCCCTCCACCAACCAGGTGCAGCCGATACCCACAGGTGCAGCCTTACCAGGTGCCAACTGCAGATTCTGTTCTCGTGGGGCAGCACCCACATCCTCCTGCCCAAGATTTTGAGTATCAGTGAACAAAGCAGATGAGAATTCCTGCCCCCATGGGTACATCCCAGCTGGGGCAGACTTCAACAAAATACAGCAGTGAATTATAGTGGGCGTTGAAAGGATCAGGAGTGCTAAGGCGCAAACGAAAGCAGGGGTGGGTGGTGGGGGTGCAGTTTTGAAGATGGTCCGGGAGGCCTTGCAGAGTGAGTGCTATGTGAGCAGAGCTGGAAGGAGAGGAGAGGGTCTGGTGGGCCGCTGGGGTGGTGTTGCAGGCCACGGGGCATAGGCCTTGGGCAGAAGTGTGCCTGGTATGCTGGAGGAGCAGCCAGGTGGCCCATGTGGCTGAACAAGGAGCGGGTGGCAGGCGAGGCCTGAGAGGAAGGGCTTCAGACTTAGGCTCTGAGTGAAATAGGGAGCTGGTGAAGGTTTGAATTTAGGCGTTGATCTGCCTGACATTTTAAGTGGTTCTCTCTGGGTTTTGGCTGAGAACAGACTGTAGGAGGTCAGAAGCAGCTAGCTGCTGGGGCCAGCGAGGAGGCCGTGCATATGCCCAGATTTGAGGCAGTGGAGGCTGGAGGCAGTGGGAGCAGTGGAGGAGCAAGGAGATCCCGAAGGCACATGTGAAGCTGGAGTGCACGGAATTGCTGCTGGAATGGGCCCGGGGTCTTGTGGGGTGGTCAAGGATGACTCTGGGGTTTGGGTCTGAGCACCTGAGAGAGAGAGTTGCTGTCAGCGGAGATGGGGGAGGCTGCAGGAGTCAGCGTTCCAGATTTAGGCTTGTTGTTGTTGTTCTTTGTTTTTTACTGGGGGTGGCATTAATCATTCATTTAGAAAATCCATATGGCACTTGGTTGCCAGCAGGATTCCTGGGAAGTGGAGGGCCTTCAGGCCACACCAGGTGGGGACCACCCAGGCATCAGCTGGCACCTGTGCCCACAGAAGCAGGCCCCTGATGCTCCCTCCTGGTCCACAAGCTCACGGGGCTTGATTCTTAGTCCCAAGCTCACATCTTCAAGCAACACTGTCTTTCTTTATTTTCTCCAAATGAATTCCACCTCCAGTGCCCAGCCCTGGGTCTGGTTGGTAATTAGGTCCTGCCCACTCCAGGACGCCAGTCACCCAACAGGGTTCGGCCCAGGTGCTGGTGAGACACTTCTCATCCACCCCTCATTCCAGCCTGGCAGCCCCTGCAGCTCCTGCTCCTGCTCAGGATGCAGGGACCTTGTTGAGGCTGGGCCCTCCCCTCTGAGGATGGGGGATTGGCAGGACTGGGAAGCAGGGCTGGGCACCTCCTGAGAACCACAGACCTCAGCCCCTACTCACTCTCAGGGTTGCTGCTTCTCTGCCAGCAGCTACTCGACTGCCCTCATCCTTTGCCACCCACAGATACTGGCATCACTGCATCTGTGGGCTCAGACTTTCCTAAGACAAAGGAAGAACCCCAGACTTCAGGCAGAAAAGCAAGATGCTTGATGGAAATGAGAGGAAGGGAAGAAATCAGTCATGAACCCTTAACAAGAGCTCGCTGTGTTCCAGGAACCATTCTAAGAGCCTCATACACCACTGTGAATTCATTTAACCCCATCTCATCCCTGTAGGCCAACTGCTATTCTATCCTTATTTCATAGATGAGAAATCCGAGGCACAGAGGGGTTAAGTAACTGGCCAAAGTCACACAGCCAGTAAGTAGCAGAGCTGGGATTCAGATCCAGCTATTTTCCAGATCCATGCTTATACCCACGCTGCTTTCTACAGGGAAACCAAAGTAACAATTGAGTAAATGATTTCAGAACTAGGTCATGCACTCACTCATTCACTGAGCACCTACGCTGCCAGGCCCTGGGGCCACAGAAAGGAGTAAGAAAGACACAGAGCATCTGGCTGCTTGCCTCAGCTGCTGTGGGGCAGTGTGGAGGCCTGAAGGCTAGAGCCTGGACTCACGCTCTCCAGCATCGCTGACTGCAACAAAGATCTTGACCTTGAGCAAGTTACCGCCCCTCTTATGTCCTCGGGGCCCTGATGGGTAGATCAAGCTCTCTCCTAGTGCTAATGTTTTTGATGCTCTTTGATGATATTTTCTTACTGACTTCTACACAGCGCCAGCCCCTTGGCGGGAGGCTCTGCGGGGCTCCTTGGGGACTAGTACAATGTTGCTGCCCAGGATGGGCAGATCTGCGTGGAAGAGACCACGACCACTCCCTCTCCCCTGAGCTGGCAGGTATTTCCAGCACCAGTGGGTAAGACGGTGACGGTGCCCACTATCCCCCACAGCAAGACACACCACTGCTCCCTCCCTCCCCTGCCACCTTCCAACTGCCTTGGTCTAAATTCTCTGCCCTGCCAAGGCTCTCCCTGATATTCTGTTAACCCAATCCTGCCCTGATGCAAATACCAGGGCACAGAGAGGCTCATGCAAGGTAATTTTCCCTGCGTCCCAAAACTCTTTAGGGCTGCAGGCCCTGGTGAGGTTGCCAGGCAACCATCCCTCCCGCAGGACGAGATCAGTTAGAGACACCGGAGGCCTCTCACGCAAAGGGGCTTAAACTTGTTCTACAGAGTTCTTAAGGGCAAAACCAGGGCTGATGTGGGTATGTCGGGTGGATGGTCAGAGGGAGGCAGGGGCTTGACACACAGCAGCCCAGATGTGGGGAGGTGCCCAAGCCTGGACACATCCAAGCAGATTCTGGACGGTCCGTGGTAAGCCATGCCCGTGGTTCTGGGCCTGGGCACCTGAGGCTGTTCTGCCTTCAGCCCCAAACAGCAGGGCCTCTGGGCAGCTCAGGCCTGATATGTGGTTTCTGCTGCCAGCCCGTGGGCATCTCACCACAGGGTCCCCACACATCCACTCACCACCCCAACTGCCCACGGGGCCCTTGGGTCAAGGGAGCGCATTAGTCCAGGCACAAGAAACTCCTCCAAGATTTCCTTACAGCCCTGAGTCTGCAGATTAGGAGGCAAAGCTGTATCCCAACTGTAGGGAAAACCTTTGAGACCATGTTTACAGACTGTATTATTACCAACAATAACTGATATTTGTACAGGGCCTTTGGTTTTGCTTGTGTATTTCCCTGGAAGTACACATTTCAAGATCAAAATCAAAGATCAAGATCAAAGAAATGTTTAAGCTGCACTCTGTTCTCCTATTACCTTCACCCCAAGCTACATCTGCACATGGCTGGCATAGGATGGTCGGTCTGAAACGCTCATCTGACCATGTCACTGCTGAAAAGGTTCAGTGATTCCAGTGTCCTTGGGATAATGGTAGAACCCTCACTATGTAGCTAGACTCCCTCCACAGCCTCATCTCCCCTTCTCCTGTGACATGTCAACACTTGGGTCCCATACTGTCCTCTAAATGGGCAGAGCTCATTCCTCTTGCTTGGCATGCCCACCCTGGGACACCTTGACAGCCTGCAAACTCCTATTCCTCCTTCAAAACCCTACCTCTGTTAAGCTCCCCCAGCCTCTCCCCTGACTTCCCCACACCTGCCTCTGTAATCTGTCATATTTTGTAAATACTATTATTTTTCTTACACACTGCTTCATACCCGACTCAGAGGTCCATGACTGGGTCTTCCACACCTTGGGGTCCATGGTTCCTAACACAGGTTCCCAGTGCATGTTCACTGAGTGACTGATTTTTAACTGCCCACCACAAAGCCAATACCAGGCATCTTAAGAGGAGTGCACGTAGAGCTTGGAGCAAGAACTAGCCTAACTGCCTTGTTGCCACTGAGAACAACAGCCATTTATTACATTAAGCGCCCACTGTGTGCCTGTCCCATGCTACTCATTCCACAAACATAATGCTTTTAGTCCTACAGTAACACAGCAAGATACAAGGATGCTATGAGCCAGGAAAGGGACTGCCCAGGGTCTCATGACTGCCCACCAGTGGCAGAGTCAGCGTCAGAATCCAGGCCTGTGGTCTCTATGCCCCCCAGGTTGCCCTTCCACATCCTGCCACTCCCTCCTCCTCTGAGTCTGGCAGGCAGTGAGTTGGTACCACTCCCTTCCCATCCATCACCCGCTGTGCAGACATGGAGAGGGGCTAATGCTGCAGCCTCACTGGTCCTTCAGCGTCTGATCTGCAACCTAGAGGGAAATCCCACACCTGAATGCTGTCTTTCCCTCTCTTGTTGATGACGACTCTCCTTCGCCTTCTCAAGGTGGCGAACTTGATCATCTCTAAACATAGAGACTTACTAGGCGAGCTATTACACCTCTGTTCCAGTTAGCCGTGTGCGCCACTGGTCAACGGGGAGCTCTGAGCACAGCACTGTGGTTTAATAGGCTGACCGAGAATCTCATGGACTCCTAAGGCTGGCTTAGGTTCAGTCCTCACGTGGCTGTTTGCCATCCACTGCTCCCTTGCCCACCTCATCCCTCCCTTCCCAGCGTCACTGCAGAGAAGAAATATTAGAGGAAAAAAACAAGACATTTTGCAAGCCAATGCGGTATATGTGTGTGTAATCATCAAAACTCTGACTTGTGACATTAACTGCCTGATCTTCCCGAGACGCAGAGAGGAATGACTAATGAAGCAGAGTTAAAGAACAAATAACTTCCAGCGAGGAGATGACTTACTCAATTCATGCTGCGAGATGTGAGTAAGACTTCTCTGGGCAGACGTACGGAGGAGACCTCTCCGCCCTCTGCATGCCTTTCCAGCTAATGGTGACTTCAACCACAGCAGGCACACAAGCAAAATCAAGAGAATTTCAGACATGACCTCATCCAAACCTCCCAGGTAGAGAAACTGAGGCCCAGAGACAGACCTGCTAGAGTCACATGCCACTGGTGGTCAGGACAAGAGGCTGGGTCCCCAGACTCCTGGTCCCTTAGTGGCTTAAAGTCACCAAAGTGAGCCAGGCCTGCCCTAAAATAGACCAGAGGCAATCATTTTTCACAGATTGCAGGAAAAGCACTCAATGGATGGCATTTTCCCCGTTTCTTTAAACTTTCTCTTATAAGCTATAGAACCATTTTGCTCAGCCTAGTGGATTCACTTTTAATATTTTATCTGGTAACTGAGCTCATGTTATTTTTTTTTTTTCTGCTGAAATTGTTTCTCAAAAAACCTGTATGAGTCATTCTGTTTTGAGAGGCAGCCTATTAAAGTGGAGTCACATCTTCTAATGGAAATACTGTTCCTTGTTCTGCTGACATTATAGAATTAAAGTACCAGCATTTCACAGTGATTCGCAGAGAACACTTTGACTTCCACGAACTCTGCTACCTGGTCTAGTTGCACCTTGATAAAAGTTCTTCCTCACGAGGGCACTGTGCGAGTGAGCGTTGGCCGGGTTAGGAGGGGGCTCAGTGGCAAGGTGCGGAGAGAAGGGTCAGAAATCTCCAGGTTCATACGGGCTCCCCAATTTATGTGTCCTGGAGCTTGGTGGGGGCCCCAGATCTCTCAGAGGGCAGGGTGAAGGCAGGTATCTTTATTTTCTGTAGCCCAGGGCCTGGCACACAGTAGGTGCTTCGTAAGTGCTCACTGAACTGCTTGGTGAATGGCCGTCAGTCTCTCTTGCCTGGCAAAGTTGAGCCAAGGCTGTGTGCCCCAGGCAGAAGTAGAGAACTGGGTAGGAAGACGGGAGGCTGAGAGCTTTGGGTCAGGGAGTGTTGGGGGCTCAGTGTCTGCTTGTGTCTTTGTATGTCCTGAGTGTGAGCCAGTGACAGGGGCAGTGTGGGGCTCCAGGAAGACAGAGGGCTCAGGGTGAGACAGGCTGGGAAGGGAAGCAGCCAGTAGGGTGTGAGCTCATTGGCTGAGGGGATTCTGAGCTAGGAGAGCTCCTCTCTCCTGTCCTGGATTCTGGGGCCAGAAAACTGTGAGACGGAGCCATGCTTAAGGGCTGGATTTCTGGTTGACTCCTTACTCTGCTGATGTGACTGTTCTGATTGGTTGCCCAGGGGCAGATGTGTGAAAGCCCCAGGATCCCCAGTCGTTGGCACCAGAGTGCGTGGGTCCTGGTCCCAGCTCTACATCTGTTAGCTGCATGTGACCTTGGGAAAGTGATTTCATCTTTGTGCCTCATTTCCTCCATCTCTAAAATGGGATAACAGTGATCTCTACTTCGTGGGATAGTTTTGAGGATTCGATGAGTTAGTGCCTGAGAAATGCTTGTCACAGACCTGGGTAGTGTCAGGTGCAGTGTGAGTACCCGCCGTATCATCTTTCTCGTGTCCTTCATCATTGCCCTCCCAGGGCACCAGCCTTTGCCACAGCGTTCATGGTTTTCCTTCTTTTCCTTCCATCCATGTCAGGTCTTGGCCAACAAGAGCCACCTCTGGGTGGAGGAGGAGGTCTGGCGGATGGAGATCTACCTCTCCCTGGGAGTGCTGGCCCTCGGCACGCTGTCCCTGCTGGCCGTGACCTCACTGCCATCCATTGCAAACTCGCTCAACTGGAGGGAGTTCAGTTTCGTTCAGGTAAAGTAGTCTCTCGTCCGCCAGCAAGCTTCAGCGTGGCCCTGGCCCACCTCTCATGAGTAAGTGCTCCACCTTTGAGAACTGGCTGGGCTCTGATCATCCGCACAGCAGGACCACTCAGTGAGATGCCAGGCCTTCCTGACCCAGAGGGCCCATCCAAGCCTTCTGATAGGGGCTGCCCGCTAAAAACTTAACCTGCCACCACATGAGGAAGCCAGACACAGGCATGGGAAAACATTACATTCCAGGACACTGAGCCCTGGGTCCACTGTTCTCAGCTTCTAGAATTCTTGAGCTTTCCAAACAAAATTGAATGACATGAAGTCACTGGACATTTTGCTGGTCTAGGTAGGAGTCCGTGGGCTAGGGAGTGAGCGAGCCTGGCCCACCACCCCCCACCCCTCGTCTCAGCCTGGCTCTGTTGTTCCCCTTAACTCCTCGATTCATGCAGTGTGGATGGGAGACAAGCATTAGGACCCCAGTTTCTAGGGGAGGTGGCACAGCTTTTTCCCAAGGATGCCATTCCTATGAGACAATCCGGAAAAGGGAGGCCTGTCATCAGATGAATTTGAGAAAAGATTTACTTCCCGCTAAGAGATCACAATGCACTTTGGCACATCAAAAATTCTAATAACATCTACAACAAACCAACCTTTGTCAACCACACTTATTGGAGCATTAGCACCCTCCCCCTCCTTTTTTCCAAATAACAGCTATCAGCACTCCACAAGCTGGGCACCGTGGCATGTGGCTGGGATCCCGGCTACACAGAGGCTGAGGTGGGAGAATCACTTGAGCTTGAGCGATCCTTCCAGGAGTCAGAAGTTCAAGTGTCCAGTCTGGACACCATAGCAAGACCTCGTCTCCAAAACAAACAAACAAACAAACTCCACAGAACATACTCTGGGAAATGCTGCTAGTGGCAAGTTTCTTTTTGCATTTGTTCATTCAACAAACATTTGTTGAGCATTTACTGCAGGCCAGGCATCCTGCTAGGCCTGTGATGCAATAGAGAACAAGACAGGCAGAGCCATCTTTCCATGATAAAGGAAACGGAGGCGGGGACATTGTTTACATTTCTTTGGCATCTCCCACTGTTCTCCACACAGAATCTGCGGTCAGTGTTGGCGGATTAACTCCTCCCCTCCCTTGGGTGGGAGCTGACTAATGCTGTATCCTGCCATTGTATCAGGGCAGAGAACAGCCATCCTATCCACCCCCACTATCAACAGAAATCTGTGCAGGGAGGACGTGGTACAGGACTCAGGGACAGTGACAGCGTAATGCTCTTATGTAATCCAAATTAATTGCTCCTGACCAGGGATGCTTCACATCCATGGGAACAACACAGAGTTGTAGCCATGTATTTTTTAAAGTGTGTCTGCCTCTGAATCTCCCTGACTCTGCTCATCTCAGAAGGTCCCTGGAGGAGGGCTCAGGGCTGACACATGCTAGCATACGAGAGGGGGAAGAATTTTATTTATCTGCCACTAATCCCCATGTGTCTCACACTCAAATCTAGGATTTTCCTCTTCCCACCTGGAAGTATCTGGCGTGCACGGCTTATCCACAATTAAAACCGACTGCAGGCTGCTCCCCTCACCAGAAAGCTGCTCCCTTAAGCAGCCATAGATTACATGCCCTGGCTCTGGCTGCCAGAGAAAGCCGGTGGATTTGATTTTGTTAGCAAGAGCTGACTGAGACCCTAGCAGCTGCCTTCTACTTTACATATGAAAGCGTTGAAATACAAATAGGACAGTCCTTTTGCCACTGCAAGAGCGGGGTGGTGTTAGGTGAGTAGAGAGGCAGGATTTTACTTGTGGAAATCAATGCCTGCCTTCCATCCACAAAAACCAGATGTCAATACGGAGGAGGCACTGTCAGCGTCGCCTGGGAAGCCCGGGTTCCAGCTTTCCCTCCCCGCAACCCTGCTCTGTAAGTGTGGGCAGAGCATGTCTGCTCCAAGAGCCTCAGTTTACACCCCTGAAAAACCGAGTTAATGCCCTACAGGGATTTTATGAGCCACAGTAGGAGATTATGTGTGAAAGAAAAATAAAAAGCATGTTGCTATTATTCTTAGGGTATCTGGCCATATTTCCATTATCCCTGACTAAGCTACCAGCCATCCGTTTCTCAGTTCAGTAGGCGACAGTGAGATAGAGGCCAGGGAACTCCAACGCTGGGCCTAAAAGTGGTCCAGGTCAGTGTTTGCAAACTGGTGGACACTCACTAGTGGATCATGCAATTGATTCCGTGGATCACAAGCAGCATTTTAAAAATGAAATAAAATAGAATGACAAAGAAAACAGTGGAGTGTTTTGCATGTTGTCAGGATACTTTTTCAGTTATGTGGATTTGCTAGTTATATTTGCAAATGTAGCATACCTCATTGTCTACCGGGCAGCAGAGGAAAACATGATTCTTATTGCGAGTCCCTGTCAAATAGGTTGAGACATTGATAACCCAGGCCTGCCTCCCATCCATGGACTCGGATGCTGAGGGATGGCTCTGGCAGTCTACTTTTGCAGCTCCCTGAGTGACTGATAGGTGCGCATGCCACAGTGTGTGGCAACTTCCAGTGCAGGGAACGCAGACAGTGGAACCAGAAGACCTGAATTTCAGTCCCAAGACCCCCACTTACCTGCCCTGCATCATCAGACAAGTTTCCTAGGCTCTCGGAGCTTCGGCTGCTCGCTTGTGCCTGTGTCCACCCCACATGTCATTGAGAGGATTTGAGCTAGACACGTTAAATGCAGGATGCATGCAGCCAACAGTGGCATGCTGGCTTTTAAGGTAAGCTGCAACCTTCTCCTTTAAAGTTAGCACGGCCAGTGAGAAGCTACCTGAGCCCCATCACCCTCCCCTACACACATGTCCACAGCAGACACCACGCCACGGGGACAGCCATGATTCTTGAGGAGCCATGGCTGACCCCTAGATCTGTAATGCTTTTGTTACCGGAAAAGGGTCCCGATCCAGACCCCAAGACAGGGTTCTTGGACCTCACGCGAGAAAGAATTCAGGGCCTGTCCATACAGTAAAGTGAAAGCAAGTTTATTAAGAAAGGAAGGAATAAAAGAATGTCTACTCCATAGTCAGAGCAGCGGCATAGCTGCCCAGCTGCTTATACTTACTGTTACTTCTTGATTATATGCTGAATGAGGGGTGGATTATTCATGAGTTTTCCGGGAAAGGGATGGCAATTCCCAGAACTAAGGGTTCCTTACCTTTTTAGACCATATAGTGTAACTTCCTGACATTGCCGTGGCATTTGTAAACTGTCATGGCGCTAGTGGGTGTGTCTTTTAACATGCTAATGCATTATAACTAGTGTATAATGAGCAATGAGGATGACCAGAGGTCACTCTCGTTGCCATGTTGGTTTTGGTGCTTTTGGCTGGCTTCTTTACTGCAACCTGTTTTATCAGCAAGGTGTGTATGACCTGTATCTTGAGCCGACTTCCTATGTCATCCTGTGACTAGCAATGTTTAACCTCCTGGGAATGCAGCCCAGTAGGTCTCAGCCTCATTTTACCCAGCCCCGATTCAAGGTGAAGTCGCTCTGGTTTGAACATCTCAGACACTTTATTTAGCTAAAAACCATTGAAACAATGTGTTGATTCCACAAAGAGGCGACTTGCGCTCGCATTTATCCTTTTGTTCCCAAAGCTGTTTTTAAAGTTTTACATTTTATTTTGTGTTCCTTTGGGTACTTTTTGTTATCGTTTTGGTTTGGTTTGGGTTGTGCTAACTGTTCCAATTCAGCCAGTTAAACATGATTAGATGTTAGACTGCAAAATACCCCAGTCAGAGCAGCTCATCTGCACGGAGAAATGAAGGTTCAGCTTTCAGAACCTAAGTTCTCTCCCAGAGTGAGAGGAACTGCCTGTGACCTTGCCCACTCCAGCCACCTGCCTGAAATAATGACAAGACCAGCCTGACCCCAGCTTCGTGAGCGATTGTCCAAAGCCCCTTCGTGCCACAGTAATTGAGCACCAGCAGGAGCTACAACGACCTGGCTGTTTCTTTTTTGCTAACAAGCTTACGTATAATAAAAATGGCCCTAGCTTGGGGATCTTATTAATTGCCTCATGACAATCCCTCTCCTTCTTTTGGGCTTCTTTGGGTTCTGGGATTTTTAAATTGTTCCCAAGGAGAGTTTCTGGGAAAGAAACTCTCTGGAATCATGCAGGCTTCCCACTGGGACAGGAAAGTCAAAGGCCCTTTGTTATTGGCTGGCCTTTGGCTGTCAGCCCTTGCTATGAACCACTAGCCGGAGGCTGGAGCTTCCTGCTGTCTGCACCGTGGGATTTTGGATGGCACAAGCATGAGGATATATGAACAGGAGGAGCTGACTGCCACTGGTGGGCCTCGGAGCAGTGTCTCCACACTGTCCCTGTGCAGAGCCCAGAGTGTCCAGCAAAATTCATCACTCTCTAGATCAGGGGCTGGGGACAGTGGCCCACACAGACCAAACACTGGAGCTACAGGGCACGTTGCCCGAGGGAGATGCAAAGACCTCACTGGGGCCACTAAGGCTGGCTTTCCAGGCCTGGACGGGCTCCCATTGCCGCACCTTCTGGAAAAGCGTCACGACACAGAGGTGGGCGCCCAAAGGCTCTCAGTGGGGCTTCGTCTAAGGAACAGATAGGTCCAGGTCTTCCCCAGTCACATGACCTGAGCAGAGGGGCCCGTGTGGACTTTTCACCCTGAAGCTAGAAGGGTGTGGTGACAACAGTCTCCTACATGAGTGGTCTAGTCCTGGCTGCCGATCAGCCTCATCTGCCCAACCTTAAAAAACAACAGATGCCCACATCCCGCCCCAAACCAATTTAATCTGAATTTCTGGGAGTGGGGTTTGGGCACTAATATTTTACCCAAGCAAGCTCCCCGGGTGATTTTAATGTGTAGCAAGGTTTGAAAACCACAGTCTGATAGCCACAGACTGACAAACTCTCGGGGATAAAGGGCATTGCCCAGCCATCTTGGCAACACCAATAAGTCCACAATGAGGAGGGGTGGGAGGGCCCACAGTTAATTAGGGCTGGGATCCTGGCTGGGGAACATCAGGGTGATTGACGTCAAGACTTATTCTTTTCTTTGAGATGGAATTTCACTCTTGTTGCCCAGGCTGGAGTGCAATGGCATGATTTTGGCTCACCACAACCTCTGCCTCCCGGGTTCAAGCGAGTAGCTGGGATTACAGGCATGTGCCACAACACCTGGCTAATTTTGTATTTTTAGTAGAGACGGGGTTTCTCCATGTTGGTCAGGCTGGTCTTGAACTCCCAACCTCAGGTGATCCGCCCGCCTCAGCCTCCCAAAGTGTTGGGATTACAGGCGTGAGCCACCACGCCCGGCCAAGACTTTTTCCTGATGGTCAGTGCTGGGGACCTTTTTAACCACAGTCTTCCACACCAAGAGATTAGAATTTAGAAAAGTTGGGGTGGCTGAGAAGTTGCAGGGGATTTGGAATTATTGATAGACACTTCCGGAAGTGGCAAGGATTTGCTTACATGTGCCACTGACGGTCAAGGAGGCTTCTCTTTAGGAGGTGACTACATTAAAATGATAGGAATTCACTGTGAGTGAGAGCACAAAGCCCACGGTGGCTTCCTCACTCTTCGTGGTGAGCCAGAAGTTGTTAAAGACCGGGCCAAGAAGATTCTAGAAGTGGACACAAAGCCAAGAAGAACCAAAGAGGGTGAGGAAGGATACAGAAGGTTTTATTTGGTTATTTTACTTGGGCCCAGGGATGTTGAACGTGAGAACCTGTCTGTGAAATTGTAGTGTGCAGCCATTGGAAAATGTTTATTATTATCTTTAGCAAAAGTATTACAAGCAATTCTCCCACACCATGTTCTTTCACTCACTGACATTCACCGTCCTGGTGTCTGTTCTGGAGCAGGCGCAAATGAAGGGACACACACACACACACACACACCAGGGAGGAGCAAGAACGGGGCCCAGTGTGGAATCAGACCCACTTAGAAACACTTGTGAGGGGAGTGCAAATGAGAAGCATCTGTCAGCCGAGGCTCTGGATTGATGCCGACAAGCTAGGCTAGAAGGGAATCCATAGAGACCACCCAGAGGTCTCGGTGAGCCACCACATTTAAATTACACCCTCGCAATGTCTCCTTGGAGAAAATGCGTATGTGTTTATTGCTTGATGGTCATTGCTATTTCCATCCCTGTGTAATAGACATGGTTTCTCCTGCCCCAAAGCTCTTAGTGGCTCCCCAGTGCTCGCAGAATTCAGTCAGAGCCCCCCTGTGCCACTCTTCCCTCGCTCTCGGTGCCCTCTGCTGTGTCACTGCCTGCCCTGTCTAGGGGACTAGATGGAGGCGACTGCACCTACCCAGCACTTCTCCCTCTGACTTTAGCTTTGGAAATTACTTATCACCCACTAAAGTTGATTAAGTGGACTGCCCAGGGTTCATATCAGTTGAACCAGCACCAACAGTAGAACCTGGATCTCTTCCTTTGTGGTCCATGAGAACTCGTACATGCCAAGAGGCTGGAGTCACAGAGCAGCACTTCCCAGCCATTTGCACATTGCAGCTCCTACAGAAAGTCATGCTTTGGGTGGTGGATCAGTCACTCTTGGCTGGAAGTGACCCACAAAAGCCCACACGTGGTTCAAGGGGTGGGAAGCTCCATTGTAAAATGGCTGGGACCATTTCCATTTGGAGTTGGACGGTCTCTTCTCCCCACGGTCACTAATCTCCAGAGGGAAGAGTAGGCCCAGCGGGGTTTCCACGCGGGATATTTATAACCCAGCATGGGGCGGGAGGTGAAGGTCTGGCATGCACAGAGGGCATCTGTGTGGTGTTCTGGGGCTTTCTATATGGTGCCAGGTCACCCAGACCACAGGCCCCATGAGTGGGCCTTCACTACTGGTGCCAAATCCACATGCCATCTGTAAATTATTTACTCTGCATTTATCTTCAAGCTAACTTAAAATCAGTCCACTTTTTATCTGATCTTAACTTAGGCCAAATGTTATCTGTGAAATTATGATTTTGGTATACAGGCAGACACTTGTTACTCTAATATACATTAAAATACACACATAACTAGTAAAATTTGTATACACACACACATACATGTATATGTGTATATATATATTTAGAGACAGGGTCTTGCTCTGTCACCCAGGCTGGAGTGCAGTAGTGTAGTAGTGTAGTGGCACAATCTTGGCTCACTGAAGCCTTGACCTCTTGGGCTCAAGTGATCTCAGCCTCCCAAGTAGCTGGGACAACAGGCACATGCTGCCACAGCCGGGTTAATTTTTTTGTATTTTTTGAAGAAACAGGGTCTCACTATGTTGCCCAGGCTGGTCTCGAACCCCTGGGCTCAAGCAGTCCTCCCACCTAGGCCTCCCAAAGTGTTGGGATTACAGGCGAGAGCCACCGCAGCAGGCTTTAAATGTTTTTTAAACTTCTTTGAACTTAATTCCATCTGAAATCATCCAGCAGCCTCCAGAGATACAAATAACCAAGTTAAGGAAAAAACATGGTTATATGGTTATTGTAAGGAATCCGCATGAATTTGTCAGTCCTTAGATACCTTCAGCATAGAAGCATTCTTCCCATTTTCCTGTTGTGGAAGCTGAGGCACAGAGAGTTGAGAGTTATCATAAAATCACACTAAGAGTGATAGAAGTCGGGTTCCAACCCAGAGCCACAAGGGCTAAGGCCACCCTCCTTTCCCTCCGCCAGGCCAACAGAGGAGTCGTTGGCAGGATTGCTGCATCTGTCATCCCCTTGCCCTCACTCCAGCCTTTTTTTCGCTCCACAGTCCTCGCTGGGCTTTGTGGCCCTGGTGCTGAGCACACTGCACACGCTCACCTATGGCTGGACCCGCGCCTTCGAGGAGAGCCGCTACAAGTTCTACCTGCCTCCCACCTTCACGCTCACGCTGCTGGTGCCGTGCGTCGTCATCCTGGCCAAAGCCCTGTTTCTCCTGCCCTGCATCAGCCGCAGACTCACCAGGATCCGGAGGGGCTGGGAGAGGGACGGCGCCATCAAGTTCACGCTGCCCACGGACCATGCCCTGGCCGAGAAGACGAGCCACGTATGAGGTGCCTGCCCTGGGCTCTGGACACCAGGCACACGAGGGACGGTGCCCTGGGCCTGGTAGGTTTTCTTTCCTTGGTGGTGCAGAGCGGTATAACTGTGTGCAAATAGGAGGTTTGAGGTCCAAATTCCTGGGACTCAAATGTATGCAATACTATTCAGAATGATACACACACATATGTGTGATATGTAGTTACATATATTCCACATATATAACAGGATTTGCAATTATACATAGCTAGCTAAAAAGTTGGGTCTCTGAGATTTCAACTTGTAGATTTAAAAGCAAGTGCCGTATGTTAAGAGAAGAGCAGATCATGCTATTGTGACATTTGCAGAGATATACACACTTTTCGTATAGAAGAGGCTTGTGCTGTGGTGGGTTCGATGTATCCCTGCCCATCCCACCCCCACAACTCCCCTTTTGCTACTCCCCCAAGGCTCTTGCAGAGCTGGAGCTCTGAGGAGGAAGGAAAGCAACAGCTCTGCCCAGAGTCACCCCTGATGCCTGTGAGCAGGGGCCACATCTCTTCCCTGGGGCAGCAGCAGGAGGACTGGGGAGGAGCAAAATCAGGCAGTCGGCCTGGAGTCTGTGCCTGGTCCTTTGCGGGGTGGTAGGAGGATGGGGGGATTGGGCTGAAGCTGCTGCACCTCATCCTGGCTGAGTGGGGGAGACATTTTCCCTAAAAGTCAGAAGTCACCATGGAGCCTGCAAATGGATCCTCCTGTGAGAGCGAAGTCACCTCCTTGCCAGAGCCATTAGTGAACCTGGCTTGAGAACAAAGCGTCATTTCCTTCCCTCCTTTAAGCTGGTGATGAGCATCCTTTAAACCACTGTGCCTTCTCACCCGTTCCATCTGTAAATTTGAACATCTCCCAGGAAGGCCTAGAGTAGACCCTTTAGAAATCAGCCCAAGGGGCAGAGCGAGAGGACACACTAGGGACTGAAGCTCCCCGGGCGCCAGCGTTGAGCCCTTTCAGGGACCCTGCCTGGGCTGAAGGATTGTCTTCATTAAGTCGCTCCTGGGGAAACATATTGGGGACTCCAGATGTCCTCTGGCAGAGGACCCAGAAAACCACACTGGCTCCAACTTCCTCCTCATGGAGCGTTACACTTCCAAACAGTGGGGAGCGACGTTTCCACCAAAGCTACACACCTAAAATGCTGCTGCCCCAAAGCACAAGAGGAGAGAGCACCGCCGGGGCCACAGGACGTCTGTCGTCCAGTCACACGCCATCCTCGCTGCTTCCTCCTGACTCTAGCTTACTTCCCCTGTGGAGAAACAGGTGTTCTTGGCTGAGCCCCCAACCCCCTGCAGAACCAGGGTGATCTGCCACCAAAAAAAGCATCTTTGAAGACAAAGGGGGTGAGGTCTTGATGGGTCTCCTGGGCCCGAAGGCATCTTCTGATAGAAGGAAGACAGTAGGGCCGGTGAAGCTGCCCAGAGAGAGTGTCACAGATGAGGCTGCCCCTGCCCCCCAGGAAGGCTTCATGAGCTCATGTCCATGGAGCATATGAGGGTTCTTCAGTGAAAAGCAGGAGAAAAGCCCACCGCAAGGATAGCTCATTAGGCACATGACCGACGCAGGGAAGGCCATGCCGGGGAAGCTCCTCCTGCTGATGTTTTCCATCTGCCGTGCCAAGGCTGAGCGGCAGAAACTTATCTCATAAACTGGCACTGATGGAGCATCAGCTGTGGCCCACAGAGAGCCTCGCTGAGAAGGGGGCAGGTAAAGCAGAGATTTTAGCATTGCCTTGGCATAACAAGGGCCCATCGATTCCCTACTAATGAGAGGCAGAGAGAGCATGGGCAATGGAGACCCACAATGATCCCCAACCCTGGTGGGTACTGGCTGCCTGTCCTGGGCCAGGGAATGGCTCCTTATACCAAAGATACTGGCACAGAGCAGAGCCCAGTGCACGTCCTCCCCTTCCCACCCATCTCTGGCTGAAGGTGCTCATCAAGAGGGAAGCGATTCTAAGGTGGGTGGCAGGAGGGAGCAGGTGCCACCTGCTGGACAATCAGCACATGAAAGGCAGGCGGGCTGTGTACTGGGCCCTGACCGTGCGTCCACTGCTGTCTTCCCCACCTCACCAGGCTACTGGCAGCAGCAGCCCCTGAGAGCACATCGCTCCCTACAGCCTGGAAAATTCCATGTGCCTCTGGGTACAAAAGTGCCTCCACAACATGCTCTGGAAATCCCAAATGCCACAGTCGGAGGTTGGTATCTAAAATCTATGCCTTCAAAAGAGTCTGTGTAATTTTTTTTTAACCTGGTAGACGGTCTAAAAAGCAGTGCAGGCCGGGCGCTGTGGCTCACGCCTGTAATCCCAGCACTTTGGGAGGCCGAGGTGGGAGGATCATGAGGTCAGGAGATCGAGACCATCCTGGTCAACACGGTGAAAGCCCGTCTCTACTAAAAATACAAAAATTAGCCGGGCGCGGTGGCGGGCGCCTGTAGTCCCAGCTACTCCGGAGGCTGAGGCAGGAGAATGGCGTGAACCCGGGAGGCGGAGCTTGCAGTGAGCCGAGATTGCGCCACTGCACTCCAGCCCGGGAGACAGAGCGAGACTCCGTCTCAGAAAAAAAAAAAATAAATAAAATAAAAAATAAAAAAAATAAAAAGCAGTGCAAATAAACACCTAACCTTCTGCGAGCTTCAGGCTTTTATTTCTGCCATGTAGATCACATATCCGTTCATCCACTGACTCCAGAGGCCTTCGGCTTGGAGCCTGCTCTCAGGCAGGCAGTATGCAAGGACTTGGGACTGCCAAGGTGAACACAGTGATCTGTGCTAGAGCTGGCCAATGAGGAAGGGCAGATGTGCAGACCTAAGGGACTAAGGGACATGCCAGGGAGGAAATGGGCAAGATCCAGGTGACAGAGTGTTGGGTGGGGGCGTCGGGATGTGAAAGGAAGGCTTCCTGGAGTGGTCTGAAGTCTGAGGCCTTGAGTGCAGGTAAAAGCAGCAGAGCTTCTCGAATTAGAATGTGCCTGGGAGTCACCTAGGAATGTGGTTCAAATGCAGGTTCTGATTCATGGTCTGGGGTGAGGTCTGAGACTGTGCATTTCTAATAAGCTCCTGGGTGACCTGGATGGTGATGATCCTCGGACACTCCGAGCAACAAGAGCTTAGATGGCATTCTTTGCCTCTGCTGTGCTGTAGTCTGTGGCACACTAATCAGTGCACACACATCTCTGTCCCCTCAACCCTCCCCAGGAGCCTGCATTCCCCTGGCAGCCCTGGCAAGGTACATGTCTGCACACTGCTATGACCCCTGCGTTCTCTTAAAGGCAAAGGGAGAAACACTCCATCCAGGAGCCACAGCCTCGTACTCTGTGCTTCGCAGGGGCTGCGGCACATTGGCCCTGGACCCATCAGGAAAACAAGAGGAGCTCTCTTCAGAGACCACCCGCCTATCATGCCGCCGAGCCTTCCTGCTGAAGCAACCAGACTGCCTTATGGTACAGGGTGAGGAGACAAGAAACCCAGTGCAGAAACTGGTCTAGCGGCTAAAAATCATTGATCGGGAACAAGAACCAAAAGACGGCCCTGCCATTTTGAGTTCATGATAAGGATTTTCCAAAGAAAGAACCACGGCCAGGAAATACATTCAGGACCAACAGTTTTCAAGGTGAAAAGCATCTTGTGCTTGGAGGTTTACTTTTCTCCTCTGTGTCCTCCCATGCATAAAGCTGGGAGAGTTAACTTTACAAAGAAGTAATCAAATAGTTGAAAAATACCCACTACTAAGGTAGCCCATGTAAGATCTAAGGAACCACCAAAATCACTCATATCAGTTCAGGAGAGAAAGTTATCATTCAGCTGTTTGACACACTGAATCTTTCCCAAAAGCCATGAAGCTGGCTCTTGGAGTACAGAAGCTTTCTTGTGCTGGGCCACTTCCCTGGTCTCAACCAAGAGACAGTTGGCTACACTAGAGCAGAAATTCTCAGTCCCATCAAAGATCACTGACTTCCTCTAAGAAATACTTTGAAAATCTCTTTACTAATTGCTGAAATTAAATTCAGAAATAATATAACCTACCTAGGCATACAATTTTTAAAATCAATGTAAGGTCTAAACTGAAACATAAAGTAGAAGTAATTTATACTAAAACATACATATGTAACAGTAATCATGAATAATTATTATATTACTAGTCTTACAATAAATAAATTGCTTTTCAAATGCAGTGATACTCAACTAAACATTATTGACTTTCTTGTAGCTGACATTTTAAGATAGACTAAAGGTGTGTGTGTGTGTGTGTGTGTGTGTGTATTGTGTCCACTGTGAGTGTTTGAAATTGTGTTGAATGCTACGAAGAAATCACATAGGGTGAAGACCAATAAATGTCAACTAGATTTGGAAACATGGAAACCTAATGGTGAGAATTTCAGTGGAACGTTGAGGGTAAAAGCCCAATTGAGTATGAATAAGAAGGAAATGGAGACAGTAATTCTGGACAACTCTTCTGAGATTTGGCTGTAAAGCAGGGGAAAGAGAAAGGATTGGTAACGGGAGGGGTATAGGGGGTTGAAGGAGGACTGGTTATTTTTTTCCATGGTTCTGACCTGAACATGTTTTAAATGCTTCTGGGGAATAAACAAGGTGAAAAGGAATGATGGAAGATGAGAGAGAGAATGATAGAGAATCACAAAGTCCTGGAGGACACTGGGAAGAGATGGAGTGCAGAGTACAGGTGGCTTTGGAGGAGGAGGAGCTTGTCCTTTGCCACTAGGAGAAAAGGGGAAAAGAAATGGCTGAGTATTAAGGGGAGGGGCTAGTTGTGATGACACAGCCTGTGACAGTTCCCTTCTGATGTTGTCTGTTCTTTTTAAAAAAACAGTCTCTCCCTTCTGCTGAGAACAACAGGGGAGGAAGAAGGTTTAACTCTGAAGGTTGAAGATGGACAAAACCGTTGAAAATAATTGTTGGAGAAAATGAAAAGGGAGCAGACCAGAAAAACTGATAGGGTTTAAAAAACAAAAACAAAATTTGATTATAACCATTTTTTATCCAGAGTGAAATATACCAAATTGTGTTTCCTGGGAAGTGTGCAAAGTAGATTTTTGTTTAGTTAAATTCTGTTTTCCCTCACCAGTTTCTTTAATAATTCTAGGTAGTTTGTCTTAGTTGAGTGTCATCTCTAATAGTTACTCAAAAATGCCTTGGCTTCATTTTTGTTTTCTCTGTTCAGAAATGAACAGTCACAAATGGAACTTTGATGCACTAAGCAACCAAAAACCTCCACTGCCAATCCTCCCGTAAAGTGAATAATCAACACTCTTGCTTATTGAGTGTTGATTTCATTTATTGGACCAGAAACCTAGCTTATTTGTATAAGTCTCATATATGTAGAGTCTATTCTTAAAAATCTAATTTTAGCCAACATTTAAAAGTTCCGCAACTAGAGAAATCATTCAGACTTTTAACTTCCTGAAGGGTCTTTCTGCTTAAAACACAATTAGTTCCTAAACAAAAGACATACTTTTTAAGGCAATACTAAATTTGCAGGAAGTAGGGGAAATCATCAGGACAGAAAATAAATGGGAACACACACAAAAATCAAAAACAAACAAACAAAAAATAGCTCTCCTTGGCTCCTGGCAGAAGCAAATGCAAGTCCTTTCTGAAGAAAACCTCAGTTCAGATCAACCACATAAGAAGCTTAATATTTACATTAATAAACCATAGGTGAGAATCAGTGGAAACAAAACCTGAAGGACTCAGAAGAACAGAATTGTCAAATATAGGATAATGATATATTAAATATCTAAAGAATTAAAAAATAGAGTTGCAAAAAACAAATAAGCAATATTATACTACAAAGGCACAGGCATGGTGAAAAATGGAATTTTCAGAAATAAAAAATGATCAGAAACAAACAATTTGGTGAGTTTAACAGCAGATTGGAGAAAATTATTGAATTTTAAAAGCTAAAACAATTACCCAGAATGCAAAAGAGAGACAAATGGATAGAAAATGTAAAAGAGTCATTAACAGAGATAAAGGTTAAAGTGAACAACTCTAACATACAAATAATTGGAGTTCCAAAAGGAAAGAATGGTGAAGAGGCAAATTTTAAAGAGATAAAGACCAAGGATTTTCTGAAACTAGTGAAAAACTGGAATCCAAAAACGCTGAAAGTGTAATGTATACCACCAGGCAGGAAAGCAAATTTAAAAGTAAAGCTACGGTTAGCCACACTAAGCAGCTCTTAAAAGCAATCAGAGAAAAATTATAGATGACCTACAATTGTGGAATTATAATAGACTTCTTAACAATATCAATGGAGATTAGAAAATAGTAGTCTAATATATTGAAAGTCCAGGGGGAAATGATTGCCAACTTAGAATTTTAAATCAAGCAAAACTGATTTTCAAGATTGAGTGCAAAATAAGAAAGTTTCAGATTACAGAAATTGAGAGCTTACCAACAGTTCTTTCCTGAAGAACTTCTAAAAATATACTTCAGATAGAAAGAAAATGATCCCAGAGGGGAATCTGAAAACAAGAAAAAAACAGTGAGCGAATAAGTGGTGACCCTCAAGGTAAATCTAAGCAAACCTTTTCTCTATAAAAGAATAGTATCTATTTATGTGTTTTTTTAAAAGGACATACTAGGCCAGGCACAAAGGCTCATGCCTGTAATCCCAACACTTTGGGAGGCTGAGGCAGGTGGGATCACCTGAGGTCGGGAGTTTGAGACCAGCCTGACCAACATGGAGAAACCCGATCTCTACTAAAAATACAAAATTAGCTGGGCGTGGTGGCGCACACCTGTAATCCCAGCTATTCAGGAGGCTGAGGCAGGAGAATTGCTTCAACCTGGGAGGCGGAGGTTGTGGTGAGCCGAGATAGTGCCATTTCACTCCAGCCTGGGAAACAAGAGCAAAACTCCATCTCAGCAACAACAAAAGGGACATACTAACTGGCTAAAAACGATGATATGTAAATAAGGGATTGAGTTAAAATGTTCTGAGGCTCATATTTGTTTAGAGGTTGGGGCTGGGAAAGATATGGGCTAATTTAGATCTTGTTAAGTACATCAGGAAAAATGTCAAGGGTAACCACTAAAAAGCTAAAAGTATAATGCCAAAATCCTTAAGAAGGGAAAAAAATTTTAATTGGATTTTTGAAAAACAAGAAACAAGAAAAAGAGCATAAAGCAAGACACAGAAAACAAAAAGTAGATATTAGAAAAAATCCACATATATTCATAATTGTGAAACAGAATACCATGCACTGGTATCAATCTTTATGAGGGATACACCATACGCTGGTTACCAGGAGAGGACTCTAAACACCTTGCCAATTTTTGTAAAGATTCCTATATCTGGTGGGTGCCCAGGTCTGGCAGGAGTCTTTACACAAACTCAGCTTCTAAAGGTTTTGCACAAACCCAGCTGCCAGAGTCTCAGTCTGGTATGACAAAACACCTGCACAAGTCAGGCAAAGCCAACTTATTACTCACAGATCGGTAGCAAAGATAGACAGAAGCATAGAATCCATGGTGAGCTGGTCCCCCAGAACTCAAGCAAGCTGCCCAGGGCAGACAGACTCTCATCTGCACATGCCCAACTTCACACTACTGCTGAGGGACCCTGAAAGCAGTCCACTTTGGGTTTTATATCCTACAGGTACTTAAATCACCGAGCTTAAGCACTGCAGAGCATCTTGTTCTGAGAAGAACAAAGACAAAGCCCAGGCTGTTCTACATGGTTCTTCCTTCTCTCAGGATGTTACATTCTCGTACATTCTGCCCAAGAATTGTAAGAAGGAGCAGGGAGAGCTGAATCAGCCAAGGTCATTCAAGGACTTGTCCTCCTGCAATAATCACAATAAATACAAATGGATTAAACACTTCAGTTGAAAGATAGAGATGGTCAGAATGGATTTTAGTTATATTTGTAAGTGGCATACCTAAAGACTCAAGGTAAAGATATGGAAAAAAGTATGTTAGGCAAAAACAAACTAAATTAAAGTTGGAGTGGCTAGATTATTATCAAATAAAGCATGCTTTATGAGAAAAGACATTATTAGGAATAGAGAGAATTACTACATAATAATAAAGATTTACATGTTTTAGAATAATGTTCTTTAATAATATAGCCTCAAAATATGTAAAGCAAAAAAATAAAAAAGAAAGAAATGTGAATAAATCCCTCATTATACTAGATTATAACAAACAGAAAATTATATGCATGTGTGCACATGCATGTATGTGTATAACAACACAAGTTGGATATAATAAGAAATAGAAAAATTATATTTTTCTCAAGAAAACAAATTGAAGACATATTATACCATAAAGCAAATTTCAATAAATTTCAAATAATATCGGCATTCTCTCAGGTGAATACGAGAAAGTTAGAAATCAAGAACAAAATGCTATATGTATGTGTGTATATATGTATACACACATATATATCATATATATTTATATTTTAATAAAATATTTTTTATATTTTGTCACCGGGTCACTTTGTCACTCAGGCTGGAGTACAGTCACACGATGATCACTGCTCATTGCAGCCTCAAACTCCTGGGCTTAAGCAATCCTCCCACCCCAGCCTCCTGAGTAGCTGGGACTACAGGCACCACCACTGTGCTCAGCTAATTTTTAATACTTATTTTTTAGAGAGGAGATCTTGCTATGTTGCCCAGGCTAGTCTCAAACTCCTGACCTCAAGCAATCCTCCTGCCTTGGCCTTCCAAAATGCTGGGATTACAGGCATGAGCCATCATGCCTGGCCTAAAATGCTATATTTTAAATGTCTATACGTTTTAAAACTTTAAACATACATTTCTAAATAAGTCATTAATCAAAGAGAAAATTATACTGAAAATTCTTCAAAACTTTTAAATGTGAATGATTATTAAATATCTTCATATCAAATATTTAGAGATGCAGCAAAAATATTGCTTAGAAGGAAATCAATAACCTGGACAAAAATTAGTACAAAAAGAATCCAACCCACAGAAAGTAAAAGATAGATACACACAGAGAGATATACTGAAAGTAAGAGCAGAAATTAGTGAACTAGGAAACAAAAATATAATGGAGAGGATTGACAAAGCGAAAGGTTGGTTTTTGGATAAAACTCATCAAACAAATGAATCTCTGATAAAACTGATCTTGAAAAACGATAAGATGCTCAAATAATTTTAGGGATAAAAAGGAGAGAAAACTGCAGATGAAACAGAAATGTAAAAGATAATAAGAGAATATTATATGTGAGATTATGCAAATAAATTTGAAACTTGGAATGAAAAATACAACTTACCAAAACTGATTCAAGAAAACAAAAAGTGAGCATATAGGCCAGGTGCAGTGGCTGACGCCTGTAATCCCCAGCACTTTGGGAGGCCGAGGCAGGAGGATCACTTGAGCCAGGAATTCGAGACCAGCCTGGGCAACATAGCAAGACCCCATCTTTACAAAAAATTAGCCACGTGCAGTGGCACATGCCTGTAGTCTCAGCTACCCAGGAGGTTGAGGTGGGAGGATCACTTGAGCCCGGAAGGTGGAGGCTGCAGTGAGCCGTGACTCTACCACTGCACTTAGCCTGGATGACAGAGTGAGATCCTGTCACTCAAAAAAAGAAAAAAAAAAGAAAGAAAAAAAGAAGTAGCTATGTATCTGTGGTGATGGGCATACAGTGTATAATGATGTAATACAGTCTAACTTAGCAGTAATTACATTAAATGTAAAAGGATTTAACTCTCCAAGAAAAGGCAGAGATTGGCAGAACAAAAAATTCTTTTAAATGACCCATCCAGGCACAGCGGCTTGTGCTTGTAGTCCCAGTTACTCAGGAGGCTGAAGTAGGAGGATTACTTGAGCCCATGAAGTTCAAGTCCAGCCTGGGCAACACAGTAAAACCTCACCTCTAGACAAAACTAAACAAAAACAAAAAACCCAAAGATTTGAAAGTAAGAGGATGAGCCGGGCGCAGTGGCTCACGCCCGCAATCCCAGCGCTTTGGGAGGCTGAGGTGGGAGGATCATGACGTCAGGAGATGGAGACCATCCTGGCTAACAGGGTGAAACCCCATCTCTACTAAAAATACAAAAAATTAGCCAGGCGTGGTGGCACACACCTGTAGTCCCAGCTACTCGGGAGGTTGAGGCAGAAGAATTGCTTGAACCAGGTAGGTGGAGGTTGCAGTGAGCCAAGATCATGCCATTGCACTCCAGCCTGGGCAACAAGAGCAAAACGCCATTTCAAAAAGAAAAAGAAAGTAAAAGGATGGAAAAAAGATAGGCAAACAGTAACCAAAAGAGAACTGGATGACTACATAATAAAGAACATTTTATAATAGTAAAAGTGTCAATCCATTAAGAGTTTATAAATTATAAACATATATGCAACTAACAATACAGCCTCAAAATATATGAAGTTAAAGCTGTCAGAATTGAAGGGAAAATAAACTATTCAACAATGATAGTTGGAGACTTCAATACTTCATTTTCAGTAATGGGCAGAACAACTAGACAAAAGATTACCAAAGAAATAGAAGATTTGAACAACACTGTACACAACTATACTTAACACACATCTATAGAACCCTCTACTCAACAACAGCAGAATATGCACTTTTATTTTTATTTTTTGAGATAGAGTCTTGCCCTGTTGCCCAGGCTGGCATCCAGTGGCACAATCATGGCTCACTGCAGCTTCTACCTCCTGGGCTTAAGTTATTCTCCCACCTCAGTCTCCCGAGTAGCTGGGACCACAGGTGTGCACTACCACACTCAGCTAATTATTAATTTTTGTAGAGACAGGGTCTTGTTATATTGCCCAGGGTCTTGCTAAGTTGCTAATTTTGTAGAGACAGGATCTTGCTATTTTGCCCAGGTTGGTCTTGAACTCCTGACTTCAAGTGATCCTCCTGCCTTGGCCTCCCAAAGTGCTAGATTACAGGCATGAGCCACCATACCTAGCAAAGAATATACATTCTTTTTTTTTTAAATACTTTTAAGTTCTAGGGTACATGTGCACAATGTGCAGGTTTGATACATAGGTATACATGTGCCATGTTGGTTTGTTGTACCCATCAACTTGTCATTTGCATTAGGTATTTCTCCTAATGCTATCCCTCCCCAAGCACCCTACCCCCAACAGGCCCCAGTGTGTGACATTCCCCGCCTTGTGGCCAAGTGATCTCATTGTTCAATTCCCACCTATGAGTGAGAACATGCGGTGTTTGGTTTTCTGTCCTTGTGATAGTTTGCTGAGAATGATGGTTTCCAGCTTCATCCATGTCCCTACAAAGGACATGAACTCATCCCTTTTTATGGCTGCATAGTATTCCATGGTATATATGTGCCACATTTTCTTAATCCAGTCTATCATTGATGGACATGTGGGTTGGTTCCAAGTCTTTGCTATTGTGAACAGTGCTGCAACAAACATATGTGTGCATGTGTCTTTATGGTAGAATAATTTACAATCCTTTGGACATATACCCAGTAATGGGATTGCTGGGTCAAATGGTATTTCTAGTTCTAGATCCTTGAGGAAGAATACACATTCTTAAGTACATATGGAACATTCTCCAGGATAGACCATCTATTAGACCACAAAATAAGTCCCAATAAATTTTTAAAGATTAGAATTATAAAAAGTATGTTCTCCATAGAATAAAATTAGAAAACAATAACAAAAATTAATTTGAGAAATTCACAAATATGTGGAAATTAAAAAACACTCTTCTTAACCAAGAAGTCAAAGAACAAATAAGAGAAATTAGAAAAAAGTTTTGAGATGAAGGAAAAAAATAGCATACCAAAGTTTCTGGGGTACAGCTAAAGTGGTAGGTACTTGGAGGGAAATTTATAGCTGTAAATACCTTAAAAAGAAGAAAAATCTCCAATCAATTACTTAAACTTTCATCTTAAGAAACTAGAAAAGCAAGAGAAAACCAAACCTAAAGAAACCAGAAGGAAGGTAGCAACATAAATTGATACAGAAACTTGAGAAAACAATTCAGCATTATAATGTTGAACCTTTACATACCCTAACAGCCTGTAATTTCTCCCCAAAGTATATTTAGAAAAATTCTTATAGGTGGCAACAGTGGATGTATAAAAAATATTCAATATAGGCTGGGTACAGTGGCTCACGCCTATAATCCCAGCACTTTGGGAGGCCGAGGCTAGATCACCTGACGTCAGGAGTTCAAGACCAGCCTGACCAACATGGTGAAACCCCGTGTCTACCAAAAATACAAAAATTAGCCAGGCATCGTGGCGCACACTGGTGATCCCAGCTACTTGGGAGGCTGAGGCAGGTGAATCACTTGAACCCGGGAGGCAGAGGCTGCAGTGAGCCAAGATCGTGCCATTGCACTCCAACCTGGGTGACAGAGCATGATTCCACCTCAAAAAGAAAAAATTCAATGTATATGAAAACAACATGAAGATTCTGAGAAGGTGGTAGCCTTGATGGTATAATTATTTAACATCTCCAAATCCCCCATAAAGATACACAAAGCAGCCAGGATTGCAAAACTAAAAACCCATGGACAATCCCTGTAACAAACAAACTAACACCAAATCCCTACAAACCCTAAAACACAAATGGGTGGAGACACAGCTACAAGATCTGCATGGTATTAGCAGCTTTGTTGGAGGACACAGAAGGAAGCAACAGAGCACCTGGTAGGCCTCAAAACTGTGGGGTCCTCATGAGGGGAAAGAAGTCAGGTTGGCAGGAGCAGAGGAAGCAAAAAACAGAAAACAGATAAGCTGTAAGGGTTTTGATAAGGTCCAAAACACATTACCCTCCCGCACAAATAACTCACCACCTTCCTGTGCTCAACTGTGCCTTCCTGTGCCAACCCTCAACCAATAAAATAACGCGATTTAGTTCACCGCAACCTTGGCGTCATCAGTACTGTACAAAACCCTCTTCAGCACATAGCACAAGCACCATCCTATAAAATCCCCAGGAAGCCTTCGTTTCCTTGCAATCAGTTCCTTTTCTAACCTGCCTGTTGCATCCTTGCAACATATTTGCCTACTTTCTCTAATAAATCTGCCCTTTTTTAACCTACAACTAACCATCTTGGCAAATTCTTCTCACAGCCCATGCTACTGGCCCAGATAGTCACTGATCACCTGCAACAAGAACTTTAAAATAATCAAGAAACAACTAGTGTAAAGCCCGCAGGCAGCTGGAGGACAGCACCTGACCCAGGGAGGTATTTGTATCTTTCAGTAAAAGCATGTGAGTTCCAAAGGTAAAGTCAGAAGAGGCTAGGGAAGACTGGGCCTAATAAACACTCCAAACTAACCAGCCCAAGCCCCCATCCAGAACAGAAGCCCAGCTGGGAACAGACTCCAAATTGAGCACTTCAGGAAAATAGAGAAAAGCAAAAAAGAGAACCCAGACTACGGTAGGAGAGAATGGAATGGAAGTTCTCAGAAAGTGAGGGGCCCTATTTTTAAAATACTCAACAAAAACAACAGAAGAGAGTGCTCTACCATTGTGAAATGAGAAAAACCCTTAAAATTATGCCTCCTTTCAAAAAGTTCAGGAAATCTAATATTATGTAAACATAAGTAGCAGAAAAGGATTGAAGTCAAATCCCACACGGTTATTCAAAGAAAAAAAGAAAAAGTAGAATAACATCCCTGCAGACGATAAAAGCATGCCAGAGAAACACACAGGTGAAAACTACAGCCTAATATTTTGACATAAAAGCAAAGCAAAGGGAGGGGAAGGGAGGGGAGGGGAGGAAGGCACAGCTCATCTGTAGTATTCAGGAACGGGGAGCACAACTGCAAAGAAAAGAGGCGATTAGCACAAAAGCCAGGCTGGTGTTTACTCTTGGAGGAGGGGTGGGGCTTTGCATTTGGGAAAGTGAACCTGGCAGGCTTATGGGGTCAGAGTCAATTTCCTTTACATGGGGATGTTTAAAGGTGTTTATCTTGTAATTTCGTTAACCTCTCACTTTGTCTTATGCTATATATACATGTATGTGTATAATGGTGTTTTTTGTTTTTCATTTTGGTTTTGGTTTGTTTTTTGTATTTGTTTTTTTGTTTTTTTTTTGAGACGGAGTCTCGCTCTATCTCCCAGGCTAGAGTGCAATGGCGGGATCTTGGCTCACTGAACCTCCTAGGTTCAAGCGATTCTCCTGCCTCAGCCTTCCAAGTACCTGGGATTACAGGCACCCTCCACCATACCCGGATGATTTTTGTATTTTTAGTAGAGATGGGGTTTCACCATGTCAGCCAGACTGGTCTCAAACTCCTGACCTCAAGTGATCAGTCTGCCTTGGCCTCCCAGAATGGTAGGATTACAGGCGTGAGTCACCGTGCCTGGCCATAATGGTTTCTTTTTTAGCAACTAAATTTGTTTAAAAGAGTGTTCATCTCAGTATTGTTCATAATTGCCCCAAACTCCATTGACAGGAGTGCATGAATAAATTGTGCTATTCAAAGGATGATCTGTTATTCAGTAATCAAATAAATGACCTATTCCTCCAGTGAAACTTAGAAACATGATTATGGAGAGGGAAAAAAACAAGTATCAAAAACCTACAAGCTATATAATGCCATTTTTATAAGCCTAGAAACCAAGCAAAAATGAAACAGTATATTATTTAGGAATACATATGTATGTGATTTTTAAAACTATGTTTTAAGGAAGCAAGGCTGGCAAACATAAAATTTAGGATAGACTGTATACCACATAACATTTTTATAATGCTCAGAAATCGGCAAAAATTAAACAATATTGTTTAGGAATAAGTAGACATGTGATTTTTAAAACTATTCTTTTAAAAAGCAGGGGAATGATAAACCCAAAATTCAAGCTGGTTTTATTTCTAGGGAAGCAAGGAGGATGGAATAGGGGAGCTAGACCCAAGTTTTCTTCCTAGGTCATGTGGTGGGTTCACAGTATACTTTTGATTATCATGTTTCATGATTCACAAATGTGTTTTATATGAAGACTTCATCAGATCTGCACACTAAAAATACAATTTAAAAATTGAATTATCTCCTTCATCAGTCATTTGTTTGTTTATTCATTCAGTCATGCAACAAATAGGCATTGTGTACCCGCCCTATGCCAGGCCCTGTGCTAGGTCCTAGGATAGGGCAGTGACAGACCACAGCTGTCCTCTCAAAGTTCCAGCCACCCAGGACATTCTACGCCATTGGTGATGGGGCCGAGTGGGAAATGGGTTTTTAAAAATCTGCACTGCAGAGAGCACTATTTACAATAGCAAAGACTTGGAATCAACCCAAATGCCAATCAATGACAGACTGGATAAAGAAAATGTGGCACATATACACCATGGGATACTATGCAGCCATAAAAAAGAATGAGTCTATGTCCTTTGCAGGAACATGGACGAAGCTGGAAGCCATCATCCTCAGCAAACTAACACAGGAACAGAAAACCAAACATCACATGTTCCCACTCATAAGTGGGAGCTGAACAATGAGAATACGTAGACACAGGGAGGGGAGCATCACACACTGGGGCCTGTTGGGGGTTGGGAGCAAGGGGAGGGAGAGTATTAGGATGAATACCTAACGAGTGTGGGGCTTAAAACCTAGATGACGGGTTGATAGATGCGGCAAACCACCATGGCACATGTATATGTATAAACCTGCACATTCTACACACGTATCCCAGAACTTAAAGTAACAACAACAATAACAACAAAAAATCTGCAGAGAGTAAGTAAGAGCCAGGATGATCCATAATCAGGACCTTCCATTCCAGGATAACTAGGAAATACCTTGTTGGTATGACTTGAGGGAGGTAATTTTTAAAATAAGTTACTTAAGGCAGCCAACAGGAGACAGCAAAAACATCAGACAGGCACTCCAGGTCGGTGGTTCCCAATACTGCCAATGTTGTTCCCCAAAGACGTTATCTTTGTCTTAAACAATGTGATATGCACATGCATGCAAACATGCGCACACACACACACGGGTTATTCGAAGTTTATTTCCTCCCTATGTTTCTGTGCTAGGATCTCCCTTCACTTATGTATTGATAGTGATGATAGACAGTGGTCGGACTTCGTTACTGTTTAGGGAAGTGTGGTTTGGTTTTTAATGTCCATACTTAGTAAACTAAAGAGCTGCCAAATCCAAATCGATCTCTAAGATTTAGATTCTTCATTATGTAAACCCTGAAGTCTGAGAATCACGGTCCAGAGTCATGTTTGAACCTAGCACTTTCCTTTTTGAGTAGGATGACTGAGGTCACTTTTCTTTTTTTTTTTTTTTTTTTTTTTTTTTTGAGACGGAGTCTCACTGTTGTCACCCAGGCTGGAATGCAGTGGCACAATCTCGGCTCACTGCAACCTCCACTTCCCAGGTTCAAGCGATTCTCCTGCCACAGCCTCCTGAGTAGCTGGGATTATAGGTGCCCACCACCACGCCTGGCTGATTTTTGTATTTTTAGTAGAGACAGGGTTTCTCCATGTTGGCCAGGCTAGTCTCAAATTCCTGACCTCAGGTGATCCGCCTGCCTCGGCCTCCCAAAGTGCTAGGATTATAGGCTTGAGCCACTGCACCTGGTCTGAGGTCACTTTTCAATACTTGGTTAAGACCTTGCTTGGCCTCAGGAGTAGCCTTGCCTTGACTACCTGCCCAGCACCACCCCCATCCATAGGGCCTGGAGGAGTTCCTCAGCTAATCTCTGAGCAGAGCGGAAAACCCCCTATGGCTGTCACCAAGGTGAAAGGAAAGGATTGGTAGTTAATAGCAAAAGCAGCAGTATATGCATATGCATGTGTGTATTATTACAAATACATCTGTTCCGGCAAGATAGCTCTACTACAGAGTCAACCCACAGGAATGTTTAGCTGAGGCTCCAGAGGCCCTGTTGAGGAGTGTGCCGTGTCTGAGGTCAAGTAAGTGCTTAATCCACTGGCTCCTTCTTCCTTGTATCTGCCAGTGTGGCCAGCCGCTGCACCCATTTCCGTTCATCTCCACCATATCTGCCATTTCCACCCAGGCTTGGACCTCATTTCTTTATATCAATGTTTCCTTCAAATCTACTCACTTATTCTCCCTGAAAATGTTTGTTTGTTTGTTTGTTTGTTTGGAGACAGAGTCTTGCTCTGTCTTCCAAGCTGGAGTGCAGTGGTGTGATCTCAGCTCACTGCAACCTCCGCCTCCCGGGTTCAAGCGATTCTCCTGCCTCAGCCTCTGGAGTAGCTGGAATTACAGGCACCCACCACCACGCCCAGCTAACTTTTGTATTTTTAGTAGAGACAGGGTTTTGCCATGTTGGCCAGATTGATCTTGAACTCCTGACCTCAGGTGATCCGCCCGCCTTGGCCTCCCAAAGTGCTAGGATTACAGGCGTGAGCCACGGCACCCGGCCTGAACACATTACTTTTTAATATTCCCTATGGAGAGGCAGCATAGCACAGAGGTTATAAACACAAAGTCCAGGCCCGTCATGGGGACTTAGGCCTGTAATCACAGGGATCTGGGAGGCAGGAGGATCGCTGGAGGCCGGGGGTTCAAGACCAGCTTGGGCAACATAGTGAGACCCCATCTCTACAAAAAAATTTTTTAAAATATTACTCAAGCTGGTAGTACACACCTGTAGTTCCAGCTTCTCAGGAGGCTGCGGTGAGAGGATCACTTGAGTCCAGGAGGTCAAGGCTGTCATGAGCCATGACTGTACCATAGCACTCTGGCCTGGCTGACAGCAAGCCACTATCTCTAAAAAAAAAAAAAACAAAAAAAAAAAAACAAAAAAAAAAAACGGTTAAAAAAAGAACACAAAATCTGGAACCACACTGCCAGGGTTTCAGCACCACTTCTACTACTTCCTAACCTGATTTAACCTCCTCTTGCCTCAGTTTCCCCAGCTATAAAATGAAGGTGATTATAGTTCTTACCACATAGGTTTGTTACTAGGTTATGAGAAAAACAAGAGTTACCCTTTTAACATAATTTTATTTTTAACTTTAATTTTAGGTTCAGTGGTACATGTGAAAGTTTGTTACACAGGAAAGCTACTGTCATGGGGGTTTGTCGTACAGATTATTTCATCACCCAGGTATTAAGCCCAGTACCCAATAGTTATCTTTTCTGCTCCTCTCCCTCCTCCCAACTTCCACCCTCAGGTAGGCCTCGGTGTCCGTTGTTCCCCTCTTTGTGTCCATGTGTTCTTATCATTTAGCTCCCACTTATAACTGAGAATATGTGGTATTTGGTTTTCTGTTCCAAGAGTTTCTCTTAGCTGAGATGCGAGGATCACTTGAGCCAGGGTGGTCGAGGCTGCAGTGAACCGCAATCCTGCCACTGCACTCCAGCCTGGGGTGATAGAGGAGATCCTACCACAAAATAAAAAGAAGAGAGAGAGACAGAATGAGAGAGAAAAAACAGTTTCTCTTTTTAAGGTATTTAAAACAGATCTTCCACAGCGTAAGTGCTATATAAGCGTTTGCTAAATATCTCTAACATGAATAGAAAAACGTTATTACTGGCTGTAAGACCTTAAAGCAATTACAACCTCAAAATAAATAAAAACAAGACAATATAATTAAATTCTAGCTAGATTTTTTACCTGTTAAAATGCTTGGTGGAGACCCGCTCTCAAAAGAACAGAGAGAGGCAAGCAAGTGAAGTCTTAAGGACCTGCCATCACCAAACTAAAACCTCTTCTTCTCTCAACCAGACCTGAAAGAAAACTGAAGTAACAGTAACTGTCTTCCTGCGCTACCCACCCTCAACCATCTCCAGGTCCACTAGGAGCATGTTGTACATGTTCTGGAAAGTTCTGGAAAGGCATTAAGATATAAAAAGTTAGTAGCCAGGTGTGGTGGTAGACGCCTGCAATCCCAGCAACTTGGGAGGCTGAGGCAGGAGAATTGCTCGAACCCGGGAGGCGGAGGTTGCAGGGAGCTGAGATCATGCCATTGCACTCCAGCCTGGGAGACAGAGCCAGACTCCATCTCAAAGAAAAAAAATTTAAAAAGATACAAAAAGTTGGGAAAGTGAGAGGTGTCCCGAGTAGCCCATATACATGAAAAATGAAACCAGGCGATCCTGTGTGGATCTATATATCATAAATGCCCCTGGGCTGGAAGTGAAATATCTTATACCAACAGGTCGGCTCTGATGCAGGGAATCTGTTTTCACTTTGAATTGAAGCTCTGCTGTTCATGGCACTGCCAGGGTGGGACTGTCGCTCACCAAGCCTCCTTCCTGTCCTTGGTCTGGGGTGATTCGGCACTTCCCAGCAGGTGACTCCAGGTGACAGCCAACAGCCAGCTTGCTCCTGTTCTCTTTCGCAGGCAGATCTGGCTCTTAATTTTCATGCATTTATTCTTTAGCCACTTGACATGCCTGGCTGGAGGGACGGGGAAGAGATTTAGCATCTTGGTGCCTCCAAGCCTCCCATCCAGCATGGTCCAGGTTAACAAACACCTGTAAAGCATCCGTCTCCGCTGGTCCTGACAGACAGGGTGAGCACCCCCGTGCATCCTCCCTCCTAAGAGGATTAAGAGGGGGTGTTTGGAAAACAGAGCTGCATCCCTGGAGGGAAGATGCCACACAGACATCAACACACAGTTCTGCATAATCAGTTCAACAGCAGAACAACAAAAAGGGGAAGAGAAGATTAAAAAATAATCCAAATGTCATAGTACTGAGGAGTGTGATGAAATGGGGAATCAGGTGGAAGCATTAAACCTAGAATCACCAACCACCCCCGCTTCACTCTTCAAAACTCAAGGCTTCGGCGGGAAACAACATGCTCATCCTTGGGAGGGCTCCTCTAAGTCCCGCCTGAAAGACGGATGTCCACTTCTGAGGCTCTGTCTCTGAGGATGGGTACGGGGAGGCTGTGGCAGTCCCGCCATCCTGCGGGGGTGTCATGAATAATTAGCTGGGCTCTTCACAGTGGAGCGCAGCCCTAGTCTCTCTCCCTCTTCCTTGGTGGGAAGGAAGCCCAGGTCCCTGAGAGACACTGGTGGCCATCTCCCTGGAGGCTTCGGGCTGGCCGTTGACAGTGGCACCAAGGTGTAGCTCGGGGCAGGGGTGCAGGCACTTAGCACTCGGCAAGCTCTGTGGGCCTCCTCCCTGCCTCCCATTCATTGTCATGAGCTTGGCAGGAGAAGCTTCCAGTCCGCCTCTCAGTGCTGCACCCCCTCTGCCCACACTCCTGGGCATCCAGCCCAGGGCCTGCCTTGGTGCCAGTTCTGCCCTTCCTGCCTCCTCCTTCCTGCTCTGCCTTCTCCCCCTCTCTCTTCCCCACATCCATTTCTATTTTACAATGGTTTTGGGGTTTTTTGTTTTTTGTTTTCTTGAGAGGGAATCTGGCCCTGTTGCCCAGGCTGGAGTGCAGTGGCATCATCTTGGCTCACTGCAACCTCCACCTCCTGAATTCAAGCAATTCTCCTGCCCCAGCCCCCCGAGTAGCTGAGATTACAGGCCCGCGCCACCACACTCAGCTAATTTTTGTATTTTTAGTAGAGACGGGGTTCCACCATGTTGGCCAGCCTGGTCTTGAACTCCTGACCTCAAATGATCCAACCGCCTCAGCCTCCCAAAGTGCTTGGATTGCAGGTGTGAGCCACTGTGCCTGGCCCTATTTTACAATGTTTAATGACCCAAACTTGAGGATTTTTCCACTTCTCTACACCATATAATCAAATCAAAAAATCAGATATTAGGCTGTGACAATGGGACTGAATCTTGGAAACTGGAAGGTCCAGTCTCAGGACATCCTGGAAAGTTCAGCACACAAGCAAGCCCCATGCAACTGTGTGATGAAACGGCCCCACACATCCAGGTGCACAGCCAAGGCGTCCCGTGCCACCTTCCTGGTAGAAACTGGCTTTTCAACTTTCTCACCCATGAAAGGAAAGCGGTTTCAGACATCAGGTTCACCCCTCTCCTAAGCCACATCCTTTTCTCATTTCCAGCTGAGGAGCTGAGCTTGAGACACTGAGGTTCCCAGCTGCCTCCATGATTCGCCAGCACTCAGCTTGTTTCACATCCTCCCAATCGTCACAGCCAGGAGAGCATGCCTCACTGACCACGAGGGAATGTCACATCCCGCCTGGCTGAGCCATGTCGCAGACAGGCTCCTGGCGAAGCACTTGGCCGACACCCCAGTATTCAATGCTGACACCCCACAAAGGCATAAGTAGCCTCATCTTGCAGATGATGAAAATAGGACTCAAACTAAATTGTGTACAGTTGTAGGGTTTATCGAGGGCAGAAAACTTCCCCATAGCAGGTCTCTGGCAACCCAGAGCCCCTCCCTGCACTCCTGTGTCCCTGTCGCTGCACCCATAGAACTCCCAAGAGGCCTCCATGGATCACTGGGCTGGTATAATTTTTATCTGTGTATATATATTACCAAATTACCTCCACCCCAAAAATACTGTTCCAGGTTTCCTGTTACTATATGGAAACACTGATGTACATCAGCCTGTGTTCATTTTGTATACTATCCATATAGTGGGTGGGTTGTTTTGGGGGATTTTTTTGCAACCTAAAAGCTAAAATATTTTTCATGTTTAAAACTGAAATCCATGTGCATGGACGGGACATTTTTAAAAATAAATATTTCATGGGTATTTGCCAACAGAATCTTATGGTTGGTCATTTTGTAAATGATTTAACCCATCATTTCATGGGAATTAATTTAGATTTGAATATCCATAGGTAGCATAAGGTGAAAAACCTCTAAAATTTGAACCCATACTCTGGGATGGGAGACCTTAGGCAAATTAACCCCTCTGAGCTTCAGTTTTCTCATTTGTAAGAAGGGGATGTACTATCTGTGTTCCAGGATCGTGGAGATCAGAGGAGGTCATCTACCAAAAGGCCCCCACCATCCTCACAAAATATCATTACTCTCATCCTTTCATTCTTAGGTTGACTTAAATAGGGAATACAAATGTATTTACATATTCTTATTAAATTCTTCAAAACTGATAATTTATTCAAATCCAAATCATACAGAGATAATAAAAATATCTACTGTGCATAAAACCGTTAGAAAAGAATGACTCAATAACTATCACCTGACATTTTATTTCACATGATATAGTGCGATTGTCTCGGCACAAAGTGACCTTAACTGCTTCCAAATTCCTTCCTCATTTTTCCCGTAACAAATCATATAGTGAAGGAAGACCTTCATCAGGGTCATGCAACTTGGAAGAGCTTCTTGGGGGAAGGGCACAGGCATCTCTGGGCTGTGGAGGAAAGGCTCCGGAACTGGCTTTAATGGAGCTTTTTCTCAACAGGCTCTGTCCCGTCTCCCTTTGCATGTGTCAGGTCCTCAGTAGCTGGGACCCCATTTTCTCTGTCTATCGTATCCCACCCCCAACACCTGACCAACTCAAATCATCACATACATTTTTAAACAGGTAGTGGATATCCAACACTGTGTCAGGGCATGGAGAAAATGGAAAAGAAACCGAAATTGTGGTCCTGGTGCTGAGACACAGGTAATCTCATCAAGCAATTTGGGCAGAGGCTGAGTTACCTGGATATTATTGCTGGTATCTGGATTTCTTAATATAAGTTCCAGAAAGCCTGGTAACTTTTAGAAGAGTATATGGTATAGCAAGGAAAGTGAATCCGTTCATTCATACATAAATAACAGATGCATGCATTTATTAACTCCCAGTGTGTGCAGGCCGTGGAAATGTAACAGTAAGCCTGATCTTCAACCTCAGGGAGAGCCACATCTTTTGGGTAAGGTCAGTATATAAAAATGCAAGGCCGGCCAGGCGCGGTGGCTCACGCCTGTAATCCCAGCACTTTGGGAGGCCGAGGCAGGTGGATCACAAGGTCAAGAGATCAAGACCATCCTGGCCAACATGGTGAAACCCCATCTTTTCTAAAAATACAAAAATTAGCTGGGCATGTTGGTGGGCGCCTTTAGTTCCAGCTACTTGGGAGGCTGAGGCAGGAAAATAGCTGGAACCCGGGAGGCAGAGGTTGCAGTAAGCCGAGATCGCGCCACTGCACTCCAGCCTGGTGGCACAGCAGGACTCCATCTCAAAAAAAAAAAAAAGCAAGGCCACAGTGTGTGATCAGTGCCACAGCGGACTAGCCAGGACACAGCAGGATGAAAAGGAGAGCAGGGTCGAGTCTCCTGGCTGTGAAGTGCTGGGAAGGTGGGACGGAAAGGACCTTAGGGACAAGATGGTCCTTGGCTGTGCCTCCCAGGATGAATGCTAGTCTGGTGGAACATTCAGAGACCAGAGTGGGAAGTCTGAGGAAGTGGCAGCACGGTGTGCCCAGAGAGAACAGGGCAAGGGGATAGGGGAGAGCTGGGGGAGACAGGAGGGGGTGCCAAATTCCATAGCTGGAGGAGAAGCTGGAGATGTAGCCAGAGATCAAACCCAGGAAGCCCCGGTACACCATGCCAGAGTGTGCCCGCGATTCAGAAGGAAACAAGGGCCCATCCGATGGTTCTGAACAGGGAGGGATACAGCAGTCAGACTTGCATTTTTAAAAGATCACTCTGGCAGCGGCATGAAGGATGGACTCCGTGGATGAGAGTCCGCAGGAAAGGACACCAGACGGGAGAGTGTCTCTGCGGTCAGGATGAGAAATGATGAGGCCCAGAGCAGGGCAGTGGCGGTGGGAAGGGAAGGGGAGGCCGTTCTCATGAGATGCTCATTCCGGCAATTCTGAGCTGACTCCTGTTGAGGAGGTATCAGCAAGTAGTGAAAGGCAAAGAAGGGTATCACTTGCTCCAGCTAGGACTAGGAATTTCTTCCTAGTACCCCCAGTGAGCGTAAGGACCTTCCTTCACCTGTGAAGTCCCTCCTGATGGTTGGTTCTGGTAGGCTCCATCACTTAGGAGCTGGGAAACCTCGGGCAGATCACTTTACCTCCAAGTGCCCCTTCCCCATTTGTAAGATGCAGATAACTAGTGCCTACCTCACAGGGGTCGCGAGCAATAGTGAGTAAATACCTGCAAAGTGCTTTAGTGAGGCCTAGCAGGGCAAGCACTTGAGAAATGTTGGCTGTTTTATGCCTGGCTCAGTCTCACTTCTGATGGCTTGTCCTGCAGAGCTTGCTAGACCTTGCTGGAAAAATACCTGAAATTCTGAAATACGGCTTTTGTCACATATGCAACATCTACACAATGGAAGTGACCACCAGCCAGAAACCAAGCAACTATCACACCTCAGTCCCCACCAGCTCACCCTCACATGTTCCCATGTACACACATGCACACCACCCAAGACGCTCTCCCACAATCCCATCACAACGGCCTCTGCCCTCAAGCGTACAACTTTGGAGGGTTATTTGAAAGGAGAGCTAATAACATGCTTTTTAAAATAAGACATCACATGTACATTTTTAAGATGGGAA